TATTGTGCATGTAGAGAAGAAAGGATTTAGATATATTATGTCAAAAAATGTGTCGGGCTTGAATAAAACAAAAAAAAATCTACAAGTATAGAGTAGATTTTTCCAAAATTAATATTATCACACTAGTTAGACTCAAGTAGCACACATGCAAGACCATGTTACTTATGTAGTTTTTAACAGATGGAACTGTATAATAAGTATTTAGTATCAAAAGTTATCTCATGACACACACGTTCATATGATAAATAACAGTTATTTGAAGCCTCCACATACTTATGAAAATAGATTCTAACACCAATGAATTTAAGTTCAAATTTTGTATTTAGATTGTTTTACTCATTGTAAATCGTGGAATCTATTGATTTTAAACTTTGCAGGATAGAAGATTGATATTGATATATCAAAGCAGACATGAAACATCTCATAGGAAGCACCACAAAGAGAGAATAGTGAACCCGTAGTAAATAGCAAGCAAAATACAGTGGAAAAGTATGCATACTCTTGTTTTACTCTGGTATATGAGAACAACAATCCATAAAATCGCATGTAACAATAAGTAACAATTTTTTTATCAAACCTTTATTTAGGAGAAGATATAACTAGCTTTCATGGAAGTTAGATAAAAGAGAATAAGTAGTTGGTGAAAAACCTGCAAATAATTTAATATTGAAGAAAATTCGCTCCAAACCCTAATGATTACATGTTTTACTATAATTCTAGACGATTAACCAACTTAGGCATCACTGAACGTAAGTGATCTTTTGGTTCTCAAAGTTAGATAATTCAAAGATATTAATGCACGAAAGACTACTCAAATATCTTTAGGATACTCTCGCTCTCTCTACCCCTCCCCAACGCTTATAGCGAATACATAACCTAATTTACAATTTCATATGGTGCTACAATCACATTCTTTCTTGCTAAATGCAGTGGGGGCAACATGATGTTCTCCAGCATAATGAGGATCTGATGAACGAAAATGGCATCCCTTTTCTAATCTCCACACTTTGGAATGAGGACCCTCCGGTGTCGACCATCCTTACGGCGTCCAAAGGAGCACTGCAATCGCGTTAAACCTAAATAACCCATGATTTGAGGTGTAGAATATTCATACTTCCGGATTACATACTTCCTTGAGTGTATTGGAGTTTTATTTCTCTCTCAACTCCAACGTAACAACTTATCTCAACCCATAGTATGGCTGTAGCGCAAGAGCATTACATGCATTTCTCCACAGCACAAACTGGTGTGACAATGCTTCACCACAACGACTCCTAAACATGTGGGTTCTTTGCCAAGGCAAGTCTTGAAGGATACTTATCTGATGGTCGTCAGTAACTTTCGCTGTAATTGCAAGCTTCTTCTCTTTGCCGAGACAAAATTGTACATACCGGGCTGAGAGCTCAGTTTTCAACTACAGTTGATCTTTCAGAAGACACACAAGCAATCTATGTTCACATATCAGCCACGATCCATAAAGATGCATGCACAAACGGATTTTTTTTGACAATGCATTCACTGACTCGCGCATTATTACGGAAACGTGGAAGACGGAAGGCATGTGGAGCCCTACGCTCCCGTGGGATCTTGCAAATGTATGTTGCAGTATTTCTCCTGTTCGTCCAGAGGAAACATGACTGTTATGAATCTCATAGAACCTTTATCAAGATTAGCATTCATGTTTGAAATTTTAGCATACTGTATTTTCATAAATCTAAATACTATAATATACATGTGGAAAAATGCCAATCAACTACAGCGTAACTTTGGTTGAATTACAAAACTTAGAGAAACATGACTTCTGGTTTCAACAATACATTAACTTTCCTAAACAAATTTATTCTTTTTATAGAATAAGAACAGAGGTACAGAGAACTGACAACTATAAGTGGATAAATTGAATTCAACAAACCTAAGCTCGATTTTCAACGAACACTCTAAGAAATCAAGAGTTTTACTAGACCCTATAGGGGAGAGGTCCGCAGTGACCGACAGCCAGCAAAGGCCGCCGGCTCAACTTGCAGGAGGCCGAGACAAGCAATAAAGCGTATCAAGACATGTATTGCATTGCAGCCTTCGCGATGGCCGCTTTTCTGCGAGCTATGCGACCATAGACTAGATAACAAAAAGCACATTAATTAAAAGGTGCTATGTTCAAATAAAGTCAATATATCACAAATCCTCAACATCGATGTGTAGGATATTACATCCAGGTCATCGAAATCATTTTACAATCACTACTTTCTGCTTTTTCAAGTTGAATGTGGTAAGAACATTGCTGCTGAAGATTGCTCCACAAAGCTTGCATCACAATGTAATCAACCCAATCTATCAGAGTGCCAACGTCGCCATTTGCAATTCCATGAATTGCAACTTGCTCTACCTGAGAGAACCACTTTCAAATGTTATTAAATTTGGTCGAAGCAAGCCTAGAGTAAAATCATCCTCTCTTTATTTCATCAAAAGATTGAATCTACAAAAATCTGTGATGGATTTTTGGTACGCAAGTTGAAAAGTATGGCACGGTAGTCATGTGTATTTGTTACAAAAGTATGATCAAATCAAAGAGAGATTAATGACATTACCGTTGACATCTGACTTCTGTTCACAACGAGACCTTTCATCGCATGTCCGGCTATCTTTTTTGAACGATACAGCTGAGTAGGAGAGGAAGAGGTTCACCACAAGTTACTTCTTTCCCATTTACTTTGCGTAGATAGGTAGTGTGATGGGAAAATTTCAGATTCATTTGCTGGACACAAGTTTTGTTGTACGAAAGCATCGCAGCTACGTGGCTTAACTTTTGAACTATGTGCATGAAACTCATTTCTTCCACGTTTTAGACTTCAAGTGGAAACCAATTACACATGTGTGGATCGGAAACAACTCTTGGTCTTCTGACGACTATATATATATATATATAATATGATTTGGAAAATTAACTCTTTTGAAAATTGAGATATTGTCTATAAATAGCAAAAAGTGATGAGATTATCCCATCAAACCAGCAACGGCTAGTGTGTCTATATTATATCCTTTGATTTACATCTAGACTATCTAAATAGAAAGGTCAATAGAGCATAGTAGGAAGTCATCTTGAACGGTTATTGTAATAAAATAAAGGATTCGATACATTACTCCTAATAAGCGACCTTTGCAATCTTTTCATAAGCATACAGAATTGCTTTCACAGAATTTAAAAAACCTACATAACCCGTAAAGAAAATTGCGGGGTAGTACTTTAACAAAAAATGAAACCTTTGAATATCTGGTATCACATGCCACGTTGGCAAGGTCACCTCCATGTCGGACCGGATGCGGAGCAGGGTCGTAGGGAGGACATATTTTCAAAAGGGGATCATGCGCAGTCGAGGTGCACAGACTGGGGTCCCAGGAAGTCAAGAGCTGCTCTCTTCCCCGCAGTTTCTATTGAATCAGTTTTTGCAGATATTTGCCCTCGAATAGGCAAACGTGATGGGCCATGAATCGCCATCGGAATTTCCCCACTGGACCATCCCGACTGCTGTGGTCAGAGTTACCTCGCTCGTGTGAGCCATCAAGACACATAGGGTGGAATATGGACCGACCATGGTTGACTACAGTCGGTCCAGATCGGCCACTGCCTCACTTTACTGGGACCATATGTTGGGCACTTCTGACCAGATACGTAATCTATAAGGTTCATGTGCGTGGACTTCCGCGACGTAGACTGTGAATGGCAACACATGGCGAATAAACACTACCCGATAGAATGTCAGGCTTAGTGCGCAGCGGCACTACGGGGCCGGAGAAGCCAAGGCATCGACGAGATGGACTTTGTCGACGACGCGAGCCCGGAGCAATTTCGCGCTCTGCGAGGGCCAGCGATTTCATGCTGGAGGCCGTCGCGGCCGGGCTCGACGAAGGTGGGTGGTGGTGGTAGTGCGGGCTGAGGAGCGTTCCCGCTGGGAACAGCGGTCGGCTAAATAATACAGTGCAGGCTCTACCTCCGGAGCCGTCGATGCGACGACGTGTCGGGAGAGGCGGATGAGAGCCGGGAGCGGTTCTCGCGAGATGTCTGGCTGCTGCGGCTATTTGCCGCGGGGCTGGGCCGCGCGGCCCCGAGCACGGTAGTGGCCGACGAAGCGGCCCCGGATTTCACCCCCTCCCACCTCCCGAGCGGGGTAAAACTGCACCCACGGTCAAGCTCGGGGCTTGTCTGGGCGCGGCGTAGGCTCCAACCTCTAGGTCAACCTGAAGCAACGGGCTGTGCTGTACCGTGCCGGGCAGACGCTCCGGACGCCAGCAGCAGCGGCTCCAGCCTTTTGGTACAGGCAAAGTGAACCACGGCGACGGAGCAGAGACGCGCGACGCCATTGGCCGCACCTTTGACGGCGCGACCAACGGCGACGGTTGGAGCTCACTGGCGGTGGGGCGCCTGTCCACTGCTCGAGCAGCGACTGCTTCCGTGCCTTCTCGGTGGGCTCTCGGTGGTAACCCGAGTCAGTGAGTGAGTGGGGCTGCGGGACGATGGCGGGCGGGTCGTAGTTGCCGAGCTCCGTCATCGCCCCGGTCACCTGTTCGGGTCAAAGGTACGACGCCTCCCCACCCACGCCCCCCCCAACGAGAGCAGGGCGAAGGTTCGCTGGCGCTCGACCTGTTCCCGGGCCCAGCCGTCGAGTGAGGGTGGTGGAGGTCGAGTCGGGGCGGGTCGGGGACGGGCGAGGAGGTTAACCCGAGTCGCGGGAGTGGTTAGTGCGGGAGTGAGCGAGTGAGGGAGTGGCGCCGAGGCGAGGCGAGAGGGGTGGAGGGGAGGGGAACGAAGGCCCGGAAGGGGTCGAGGCTGCTCGAGCCCACCGGATTGCGGGAGACCGACAAGGCAAGCTACGACGGCCCCGACGAGAGCGAGGCCGAGGGTCACTGGCCCCCCTGGCTGGCCCGGCTTTACCAGCTGCTGGGCCCAGAGATTGAGGTCAGAGGGTGGTGGAGGAGGACGTTGTATATAACCTTTCAATCGGCTCTGGGTTCTCCACCTCCTGTCTTCCTCTCTCGAACGAGCGTTTCCTGTCGAGGAAAACATGCTCGCGCACGTAGGAGTGGTGGTATGTGTGGCGCATTGAAAGATATCGCGAGTACCTGCTCGTGAGAGGGGAAAATCAGTCGACTTTCAAAAGGAGGAGTCGCAGCGATGGAGGGGAAGAGTGAGAACAAGCTGGGTTTCGAGTCATTGACCGATGAGACTGTAGACTTGGTAAATTCCCCAATCTCTCGTGTCTGAATCAGTGTTTCCGGTCGGTCTTGTTCCCTTCTGGTTCTGGTTCCGTGGGTCTTGGATGGTACGAGAGAAATGACACCGCGGATTAGGCAGCGGCAAAATGAAGTTTAGGCGCATGGCAGTCGATGTTCAAATGCATGCGTCGGGTCGGGTCGAGACGCAAGAACGCATATTACAGCGGTGGAAGTTTTCGAAAGCTTCGGGATTCTGGCTCGGGGCGTGTTTGGTTCATTTTCAGTCACAGGAGTAATCCGAGATTGTGGATTAGGCAGTTCAGGCTCGGAGCGTGGTGAGGTGGTTTTGTGAGAGGTCTGTGGTCAGTTTCTTGTCACCAGCTGTGAAGGGTCTGGGAAGAGGGGGCTGACGAATGTTGTCCTCCTTCAATACAGGAACGGATCCCAATCGAGGAAGTCTTCGCTCAGCTGCGATGCACCAAAGAGGGTCTCACCTCTACGGAGGGAGAGACACGGCTTCAGATCTTCGGGTTCAACAAGCTCGAAGAGAAATCGGTACGAGAAGTTCTCCCTTTTCATCTCAGAGAAAGTTGTTGTGGTTCCCGTACATGGACTCGTGGATTGCACATCTCCACCGTCATCCTTGAAAACTAGTCTATCGTTATCACTATTCCCCCTCGTACCTTCATGGCACTGACTGTCAACCTCATCAATGTAGCGAAGAAGCTGTATTCTGCCCGAGGCCAATATCATTCTAGACTTTGGATTCAATCTTGTTTGGCCCAAAGGGTACCAGACTGGTGGGCTGTAGTCAAGAGCTTCAGTCATGTCATGTGGAAGTTTGTAATATCGCCTGATGGGCTATGTAACAAATCAACCGGTGAATTCGTCGTGCTTCGTATTTTCTGATGGAGGTTTGGTGTTCTCGGAGTACAGGAGAGCAAAATTCTGAAGTTTTTGGGATTCATGTGGAATCCCCTTTCATGGGTCATGGAAGCTGCCGCAATCATGGCCATTGCGTTAGCGAACGGAGGAGTAAGTTCTTTCTCCGTCTGTTGACCCCTTGTGAGCTTGTTGGACGGTTCGCGGCCAGGAGTATGAGCGGTAGACTTTTTTGCAGTAGTCTCGGGCATGCTCCTTTTGCCACTGAAAGTCTTGAGCAAATCATCGTGACGGGCATGCGCACGACCAACAAAGCATTGTTGATAACATTTGGGTCGAACATTTGTGATCATTTCAGGGCAAGCCACCAGATTGGCAAGACTTCATCGGTATTATTACTTTGCTCGTGATCAACTCGACCATCAGTTTCATTGAGGAGAATAATGCAGGAAACGCTGCAGCTTCGTTGATGGCCCGACTCGCACCTAAAACGAAGGTCGGTAGCATGCTTTTTGCAAAGTCCGAGTGGTCACGTGGTGGTCAAACAGTGCGCACTTTTGACTCTTCTTCTTCAACGCCGCGCTGTCAGGGCGTTCGATGTCCAGAACATGAATGAATCTGCGAGGCCGGTGGCACGCTGTCTGGCTGCCGAATGTTTCCGTGTGGGTTTTGATCATCCTTCGTTTTGCTTACAGGTGCTCCGAGATGGAAAGTGGTCGGAGCAAGACGCGGTGATCCTCGTTCCCGGAGATATCATTAGCATCAAGCTCGGCGACATCGTCCCTGCTGACGCTCGTCTTCTCGAAGGAGATCCTTTAAAGATTGACCAGGTACAGTTTGTTTTCCGAGAGGCGTTTGTTCCACGCTCGAAGCTGGTAGCTCGTTAGAGCTCCGTCTGCACATTTGTTTCGGCTGCTCACAGTTGACGATGGTTTGATTGCAGTCCGCTCTTACTGGAGAATCCCTTCCCGTTACCAAGAAGCCCGGAGATGAAGTCTACTCAGGATCTACCTGCAAGCAAGGAGAGCTCGAGGCGGTGGTTATTGCCACCGGGGTGCACAGTTTCTTCGGAAAGGCTGCCCATCTTGTTGATAGCACCAACCAAGTGGGACATTTCCAGAAGGTAATAGCGGCGATTTGAGTCGGTTGTCTTTAGGCTTTTCTTTGCTGTGAATGCAAATGCGCTTTCAGACGTGCATCATCTCCTAAAGGATATGCGAAAATCGTTTGCACCTCGTCTAATGATTCATCTATATACTGGAATATAGGTTCTTACCGCCATCGGAAACTTTTGCATAGTGTCTATCGCCATTGGTCTCTTGGTCGAGATCATTGTGATGTTCGCCATCCAGAAGAGGAAGTACCGTGAAGGTATTGACAATCTGTTGGTGCTTCTCATCGGAGGTATCCCCATAGCTATGCCGACTGTGCTGTCTGTGACCATGGCTATCGGTTCTCACCGTTTGTCTCAGCAGGTAATTCCCACGCCACATTCTACTTCCAGATTTTGTGTTACTCGTAGCGTGTCAACAGGGATCTTGAAAATCCGAAAGGTGGTCAAATGTTCGTGTAGCACGCGAGGACGTAAATTAGTTTGCTAGATAGATATTCTGTCGACCGACTGTCAATTATGTGGTACCACACACTTCTCGTTCGACAATAGGACTAAACATCGTGGAATTTGCATCACATTTCAGGGAGCTATCACAAAGCGAATGACCGCCATCGAGGAGATGGCTGGCATGGACGTATTGTGCAGCGACAAAACTGGAACTTTGACCCTGAACAAGTTAACCGTCGATAAGAATCTCATTGAGGTAAAGTGTGATTTACCTCTGCTCATGCGTGCGACCCTGTGCGAGGGCCCTACCGTCGTTGACTTGGGGGTTCCAGTAATCATTTTCTGTTGAAGATCCCCTCTAGCCTTTACTGCTCCCCGTCGAGTAGGTCCGTACCCTGAAAGTACTCTTCTCGTACCGAAGAGGTACGGGCAATAACGAATTGGACGTACGTTGGGAGTCGGATCTGTCAGTAGTGACCTGTACTGTAGATAGGTGTAATTATTTCTGTCAGACATTAACGACGCTGTTCTGGTAATTTCTGGTGCAGACATTCGCCAAGGGTGTTGACAAGGACCTAGTCGTGCTCTCGGCCGCCAGAGCTGCCAGAGTCGAGAACCAGGACGCTATCGATGCCGCCATCGTTGGAATGTTGGCTGATCCCAAGGAGGTATGACATCAAATTGAACATCAGCAAGGAGCCGGGGGGGTGGAGAATCCAGTTTCATTAGGGTTGGTCTGTCAGAATGTAGCTGTTCTCTTTGACTGCAGTCTTTTACTGCTTGCTCATCCGCTTTACGTTTTGATTTGCAGGCTCGAGCGGGTATCCAGGAGATTCACTTTCTTCCATTCAACCCTGTCGACAAGCGTACCGCTATCACTTACATTGATGCCGATGGAAAATGGCACAGAGCTAGCAAAGGAGCACCTGAGGAGGTATAGCTGCTGATCTCTTTTTGAAAATACTGGATGTTCCTGAGTATTAGAATAATTTGCGGTATACAGGATCTTAGATGTCGAGTCTGAATGTGTGATCGGTGACTTGTGCGCAGATTTTGCACTTGGCTCAAAATAAGGAGGCTATTTCTTCGAGAGTGCACTCCGTGATCGACAAATTTGCCGAACGTGGTCTTCGATCATTGGCTGTTGCAAGGCAGGAGGTACCTGAGAAAACCAAGGAAAGCCCTGGAGGACCTTGGGAGTTTTTGGGTTTGTTGCCATTGTTTGACCCGCCCCGTCATGACAGTGCCGAGACCATTCGACAAGCACTGAACCTGGGAGTCAATGTCAAGATGATTACTGGTAAGTTCTCACGATCATTTTACTGCTATGTTACTCCTCAAATTGGCTTGTTCAAGTTCCACAGCATTGTTCTGTGTCACCTTGTTTGGAAAGGAGAGGATTTCGGGCATTCTGTACATGTCTTGGGGCATGTCTTTTGTCTCATGTTTGTTCTTTATCAGGTGATCAATTGGCCATTGCCAAGGAGACTGGGCGTCGCCTGGGTATGGGAACGAACATGTACCCGTCGTCGGCTCTTCTTGGACAGCACAAGGATGAGTCAATTGCTGCACTCCCAGTGGATGAGCTCATTGAGAATGCAGATGGATTTGCTGGAGTTTTCCCAGGTGAATATAGGAAATTTCGTCTCTTGAAATTGATGCTATAGACTGGACAGAGCGTGGCCGCAGTCGCTAGCAAGTTTGGTTGATATTTTCTAACAAAAGTTGTTATCTACTGCAGAACACAAGTACGAAATTGTCAAGAGATTGCAAGAGAAGAAGCATATTTGCGGTATGACTGGAGATGGTGTGAACGATGCACCAGCTCTCAAGAAGGCAGATATTGGTATTGCCGTTGCTGACGCAACCGATGCTGCCCGCAGTGCTTCGGACATTGTCCTCACCGAACCTGGTCTCAGTGTCATCATTAGTGCCGTTCTTACCAGCCGTGCTATCTTTCAGAGGATGAAAAACTACACCATTTACGCCGTTTCAATTACCATTCGTATTGTTGTAAGTATTTCTTCTCTATTCCTGCGTTTTTCTGTTCTTCCCGGTATACTTCAGGACTTGATGAAGAGCTTCTGTTTAATGTTTATATTCGATGTTTATCAGTAAAAGTTCAATCCACTAATGACCGATTTGCGCATGTGGTGCAGCTGGGATTTTTGTTGCTGACCTTGATCTGGAAGTTCGATTTCTCGCCCTTCATGGTGTTGATTATTGCCATTCTGAACGATGGTAGGTGATTGCTTTGAGTACCTGTGCAATGAATACTTGGATTATATAAACCAGATTTTAATTCGTGGATTGTGCTTCGAAATCTAAACTTTCTTCTATCGTTTTCAGGAACTATTATGACCATCTCCAAGGATCGTGTGAAGCCTTCTCCCCTTCCCGATAGCTGGAAGTTGCAGGAAATTTTTGCTCAGGGTGTCGTTATTGGAACTTATTTGGCAGTGATGACTGTTGTCTTCTTCTGGGCTGCTGATAAGACTGATTTCTTTGAGGTAATCAGTCCCAACTAATTTTTTTTCCATAATGGCCAGCCAAATCGTGGAGTTGTGAATATTATTTCGACCGGTGTTGAGGGATAACTGCTACCTTAAGGAATATTTTGCTGACTTGGTATCGACTTGCTGCAGTCGAGGTTTGGAGTGCGATCGCTGAACGGCAATCACTCGGAGCTTACTGCTGCTGTCTACCTACAAGTTTCGATTATCAGTCAGGCTTTGATTTTCGTCACTCGATCAAGGAGCTGGTCTTTCATCGAGAGACCAGGCATGCTTCTTTTTGGAGCTTTCTGGATTGCTCAACTGGTATGGACTATTCTCGCATTCCCTTTCGTTCTCAGCAATCAAATGTACTCTCATTTCTCCAGTGTCATCACTTTTTGTTAATTCTTCATTTTTCTTGGATTTACAGGTTGCCACCTTCATTGCCGTATATGCTAACTGGGGCTTCGCCCACATCAAAGGAATTGGCTGGGGATGGGCCGGAGTAATCTGGTTGTACTCCCTCGTAACCTACTTCCCGCTCGATATTATCAAGTTTTCTGTGAGATACATTTTGAGTGGCAAGGCTTGGGATCACATGCTTGAGCGCAGGGTAAGCACTCGATTCACATCTTGCTCTTTCTAAATATTCCTCTGTGAAATATATATTGGAGGTGTCTGTGTATTTAATACTAATTGTGGTTTTGTATCTTTCAAAATAGACCGCATTCACTCGCAAGAAAGATTTTGGAAAGGAGAATCGTGAAGCTCAATGGGCACAACAACAACGTACTCTTCACGGTTTGGCTCCACCCGGCGCTGCATCAGGAGTTACTGGAGGACAAGCTTTCAATAAAGATGTTCCCGAGATTGCCGGAGAGGCCAAGAGACGTGCAGAGATGGCTAGGTGAGAAATCCCGATCAATACTTTCGTACCTTTTCAAAGCGTTCAAGACAATTTCGTTTGGATCTGTTAGTAGTAAATTCTTTAAAATGGTTGTGAACCTTAACTGACCCTTCTCTTGTCTGCTCCAGGTTGAGGGAGTTAAACACGTTGAAGGGACACGTGGAGTCAGTCGTGAGGTTGAAGGGACTGGACATCGAGACTATTCAACAAGCATACACGGTCTAATCAGATTGGTGTAATCTTAGTGTTAGAGCAATGTGGGAATATGAAATGGGTCAATTTTGACCCTCAATTCTCATATTCAGTCTAGTGTATTAGTGGGTGGGGAATCATCATCAGCAGATGTAACTTACTTTCCAGACTGCAACAGGAATAAATGGGTGAGTAGGCCAGTGGACGTAATAGGCATCCACCCACCTTCTGTCCACTGCTTGGAACACAAGGTTCTAGGAATTTAATGGAGAAAAGAGTCATCAAGAAATTAGTCATTATTAGAAATTTAGGTATTACATCAGAGACGTATGAAAATGTGAAAATTTTGTAGAGTAACACGTAGTTGGTAGATTTAGGAACGCACACAGGTCTTGAAACCGTATCGACGTTCTGATATCTTCTACTTTGACTGTCTATAAAGTTGAAATTCGTCAAAGTTTAATCAACGTTCAGAGGCCACCATTTCGTTCTGTCGCTAAATCAATACTCTGTTTGCTTTAAAATACTAGTACTTCGTGTGCCTCATTTGTTTTCCAAATTTTCCGCGATTTGAACGCAGAAATGTTTACAATTTGTTGTCTTCGCATCGTTTCCGCTTCACAGACTTTGACTGGAACTTTTCTCCTGATCGTGTGTATTGCCTTGATGCCTGCCATAGTATAGACCGCTTTGCAGGAGGTAATGAATATTCTGTTGAAAAAAAGACTCAGAAACTAAACCTACGATCAGATTCTTTTAATTATGTGCTGTCTTAGCATCGTTTCCGCTTCACAGACTTTGACGGGAACTTTTCTCCTGATCATGTGTATTGCCTTGATGCCTGCCATAATATAGACCCCTTGGCAGCAGGAGCTAATGAATATTTTGTTGAAGGAAAGACTCAGGAACTGAACTTACGATCAGATTGTTTTAATTGTGTGCGCGTAAAAAACTCAATTTACATAAAATTCCAGGGTAAACATGGCCAAAAAACGACTGTTGTCAAACAAATACAAATTTCACCTGAAATTGAAAACATACGTGCAATCCTACTTTTTTATGATCGATAACCACCAGCTACCTCAAAGCAGGTAAAATCACGATCTTTGTTAAACTTCTTCAAGTGATAACATTGATGATTATGAAAGATTATTAATAAATAGTTGCATTTAGACGAATTTGTACACACATGTCCCGAATACTGGTAGTAATCCCTAATCAACTCTCTCACTTACTACGACGATAACTTGACATTTGTTTTTTCCAGATTTGCAGAAAATTTGTAGTGTGCAATTCCTGTTAATCATTACTCCGGGAGCAAGTTTCAGCAGTGTACACACAGGTCTTCGCAGCAACCTGCGCTATTTCAGATATTCGAAGTGCCAGAATTACCGTAGATCCATTTGAGATCCCCGGTTTGAAGGTCTTACTTGCATCGATTCCAAGTTATGGACAGCTCGGAGAAGTGCGAAAGCTACGGATCATGTGGTGTTCGATGAAATTTACTTTCGCTTGTTTCCAGGGTACTTTTTTCCATTTGGAGCAATTCTTGCATCTTATTTCTCCGGCGTCATACATGTCTGCACACTGTGTTGTGCAAGTCTCCGTTAGTCACATTTGGCAAAATGAGTGTGAACTGACCGAAGATCCAAAACAGGAGGCAACCAGGATTGAACTGATGACCTATCGGACTGCAGCCGATTGCTCTACCACTGAGCTATACCTCCAGATATAATACATATGCGGGACCTATAATTATTATTTTTTAAGATCATGTCGTTTTCCTTCTACTGCCGATGCGTAGCACATCCTGTTCTCTGATTTGAGCCAACCACTCGACAAGATAAATTTGGTATAAATAGTCTCAGACTCATCAATAGGTGGGCCCGATAATTTCTCTGCCTAAATCATAGAATTTCAAATGGAAGTTTTAATTCGAATTCACAATATGATTGCAAACATATAGTCTAAACTTGAAGTAAAAGTCGAGAAATTTATTACATTAACTTTAGAAAATTAAAGCTATTTATCTAAAAAATCTGATATTATCCATATATCAAAAAGGTGATGTACATTTATCAGCCTCTTTATTTAATGGTATATCGAACTGTTTTGACATATATCCCGTGCACTTTCAACTTATCATGAAGTGTCTAAGTCATGAGTCATGTACTACAATTAATACATGACATATGAGTCAAACGCACAAGTCAGATATCTTTAATCGATTCCAACACAAGCCAAAAAATATCATTTAATATGTGAATTATATTTTTTCCTCAACATTTTTGCATAGAAATCCAAGTTTTAGAAATGTATTATTATAAGAATCAGATTAACATAAAGATTATTATTAAATCTATAACATAATCACTTATCATTCCAGATTATGACGACATGAAATGAAAGATAGCTTGATAAGACATGTAGATTGTACTTTCTATTTATTCAAAGAATATATGTTGGAATTACATCTCACGTCCATCAATGTTGACAGTTCAAAACATTGTTACACCGAGAAACTCGTGCAACACATAGAGTAAACATATGGAATATAAGTTTCATCTCCATGGCAACATAGTAGCAACTTTACTAGATTGAGACGAATGTATTTCATAGTTCTTCAAATAGCCATCTTATGAAGTAGTGAAAAAATTATCATCTAGTAATATAACCGGATATCAGCTGATTAAAATTAACTTTCATACAAATAATCCTAATTAATCTCAATAATAATAATAATAATAAAGCCTAAAATTATCATGAAAGTGGTGTGAATTATGAGAAAAATAGATAGTTCAACTTATTTTTCTTGTTTTGAAAGCAATTCAAATTTTTTGAACAAACTATTTCAAATTTTTTTTTTGGAAAAATATCAATCATAAAATAGATCATTATTACATTTATTGCTATATCCAATCATCCATTGCATCAAAACATGTTAAACAAATGAACACCTTGATGCAAGATTAAAAAATCAAAGAAAATTAAAGAATCCATATATAATGATTAAGTTATGATAAAAAAAATGTTCAATAATTTATCTTTGAGTTTATATAAATTTTTTAATGCTTAAAGAAAGTCAAAATCATCTACTATTGGAGTAATGAAAATTTTCTTGCTTATTGTGTAAAATTATCATTATGTGATAATATTCAAATGTAAAAGTTTTTAACACTGAAACGTATGAAATTCAATTATCTATTTTACCATTTTCATGGGAGTTCATTCATGGATCTAATGGTTAGCTATTCTGCTTGGCTATGAGAGTATAAGCAATGCAACCAAAAATACTCAAAAAGCTATAATCAACCATAAGTTTGTGACTCAATTCAAATGGTGTCAAGAAATTGATTGCACTAGAAAGAGAAAGGTTTACCAAATAATCAGCAGTGTTGATAGTTTTGACTCAAAATTCACATAATAAACATGATTGGCTCAACATACTCTGTACGATCTCCAACACTGTTCAATTGAGACTCTCAAAGACAACATTCTATTGGGGATTATAAACCGCAGTGAGATGATGAGTAATCCCCTCCTCTTTGTAGTAACTCTGAAAATACTCAGAAGTATACTCCCTGCCATTATCCGTACGCAAATGCCTCATCTTGTGTCCAGTCTGAGTTTCCACTTGGGCCCACCAACTTTTGAAAGTTGGAAACACCTCATACTTGCGTGTGAAGAAATAAACTTACACATATCTTCAGTAATCATCAGTAAATGATACATAGTACAATTTTTCAGAAAGTGAGGCAATATGAGAGACCCTCACACGTCACTATGTATATACTCAAGTAACTCTTTGAAACTATGAGTTCCAACACCATAGTCTTGCATATGCTACTTACCCATGATACAATGTTTGCAAAACGTTAGTCAACTTTATCCAAACCAGGCAGCACCTTTCTCTCATCAAGGAGAGACATGTAACTGTCACTTGGTGTCATAGCCTAGAATGTCATACATGAGACATCTAAAGTTGAGATCCAGTAAATGATATTGCTCTCTAACATGCATAGATTATTGTGCTTGTGTCCTTGAAAAAACTATCTTATCACGTGATCTAACGTCTAACACACATTTCTTAGAACTTCACTCTAGGCCGTGTGAGTCTAGCATACCAAGAGAGAGATTAAATTCCTCTTCATGTCAGGAATAAACCCCAACTTGGGTCAGTGTACGTTTGACTCCATCAAACATGCGGATCTTCACAGATCTAACACCTTCAATCCTACAAGGTTGATCATTCTCCAAAAAAACGGATCTGTCTGATCCCGAAAATGTAAGGAAAAACTCTCTAATGTAACATATATGATAAGAACAAGCACTATCAAGAATCCATACGTCACCAACAACCTTGGATGAATTGCATAGGGCATACCACTGACATCATAGACCATACTCCAGCAAGTCATCCTCCTTAGCTTCAAAATTTCTGTCACATTTGCCAACATAGGGGTATTCACAACTTTGATCTTATTCACCTTGTAGTACTTTTTGATGTCACCACTTTTGCCACATCGCCAACAAACTACCGTCTTCCTCTCAAGGATCTTACCCATGGACTTGGATCTTACTTTAGATCCAACATGTTTTCCATCCTTGTCGTTACTCGAATGTGATCGATCTCGAATCACATTCAGTGCCATTTCAAAAGAACAGGATGAATGAGATGATAACATTGTCTTCTGCTGAAGATCATCTGTCAAAAGAGCACTTACAACCTCGTTGTCACTAATAGTCTTCCTATCACGATGGAGAAGTATACATGATAGCGTCTGATACGATCCCGGAAGCGAGCTGAGGAGATGAAATGCCTTCATCTCATCTTCAATCTACTTTCCAAGATTTTGAAAATCTATCACAAAATTATCAAATGCGTCGATTTCGTCCCAGAATCTTTCATCTTGAAGGTCATCAGCTTTAAGTGAGTGTACAACCTATTAGAGAATTTCATGTGATGAAATCGTCGTTTGAGAGCTTCAAACAGTACAGATAACTCGTCATACTCCTCCACGTACTTCAAAATCGCAGGTTGAAGATATCCTAGAACGATATCCACTATTATTCTTGCCAATCCTTTCGCTCATTATCGCTAAGGGTGTCGGGTTTTTCTCTCAACAGCATGCCAAGGCCTGTGGACTTCAACTTCCCTTTTACCTGCCTTTTCCAAAGCAGGTAGTCTCCGCGTCCATCAAACCTGATAATCTCATAACCAGATCCTCCGGCTTGTCTAACTGCCATTTGTGTACGACAAAAACTAGAAGTTGTGGCATTTTCCTCCTTTCCGCTCATTTTTCACTCTCTCTGATGTACACCAATGCCTTAGCTGCGTCGAGAGCTTTCTAACGATACCCAATTTGCCTATATTCAGAGAAAATTCTGTTTGAAAAATATTCTTGCGAATGAAATATTCCTACATAATATTCTTGAATCTACCTTGAGCTGCCCGAACCTGACCGCTCGCTGCCTGCATC